CAGGTCGATAAAGTGAGCTATGCGGTTAGACATAGCAAAAAAAGCAGAGATCATGCCTATGTCCCAGGCATCTTCGCGGTCAAAACCATGCCTCTCCAGCTTCTGGAAATGCTCTTCAGTGATGTTATCAGCTCGACAGACTGCAAGAGCAAACTCCAGCATTGCCAGGTCTCGGTCGCTCAGGTCAGCCAGTTTCCAGTTCACAATGACCTGTGGAAAGGCAAAAACCAGAGGTAGCACAGACGGACCCAAAACACTGACTGATCCCCACCTTCTGTGCTCTGCGAACCAAAGACATGGCACGATGCAGGTTCTCAGCACCTGAACCAGACCACCCAGCTACCATCAGACAAAACACTTGTCTATTTTATCCCCCAGCTGGGGCAGGGTCTGGAGCACCCGAATAACGGAGAGTGGCTGGGGGGGGTGGGGGGTTAAACGGGGGAAAAGGGGGGGGTTCAACTGGAGAAAAGGAGCTGAGGGGAGACCTCATCCCCTCTGCAGCTCCTGAAAGGAGGGGGGAGTGAGGGGAGGTCGGGCTCTGCTCCTCAGGAACAGGGGATAGGATGAAAGGAAATGGCCTCAAGTTGTGCCAGGGGAGGGTGAGGTTGGATCTGAGGGAAAAGCTTTTCCCAGAAAGGGTTCTCAGGGCCTGGCAGGGGCTGCCCAGGGCAGTGGGGGAGTCCCCATCCCTGCAGGCGTTCAACGGACTGAGGGCCATGGGTCAGTGGTAGACAGGGCATGGCTGGACTTGATGACCCTAAAGGGCTTTTCCAACCCAGTGATGCTGTGATTCTCTGACTGCAGCAGTTTTTTCTGAGCAGGCTATGGAGGACTTCTTGAAATGGGACCCAACGCCACCAGGATGCTGCAGCTCCCCATTGGTAGCAGGTTCCTCCACAGACAAGATTAAAACAGCAGCAAATGTGGGCAGCAGGACAAATGCTCTCCAGGCCAACCGTCCCTCTCCACACCTTTCTTGGAAGGTGGGTGAGGATACACAGAGCCCACCTTGAGGTTCTGCCCCACTGGCTACTGCTCTGACTGCTCACCAGTAAACCTGCGAGGGCAGGCGCTGTGCTGGGGCCTCAGACATGTCAGGATTGTCGGGAACCGCAGAGACTTCAGGATCAAAACGTCAGGTGAAAAAAGCAGACGCGAGAGGGCCGTTCCCACCTCCCAAAGGACCACGCAAAGGCAGTGGGGCACACGCTGCTGTGATCCCACTGACCTGGTCAGCCAGCGCTGGCTGTTTGGAATATATCCGGTGAAGTGCTCCATGTGCAATCACACAGTAGGGACATCTATTCACCACACTGGTAGCCACAATTATGAGCTCTTTGTCTGCCTTGCTGAGTCGCCCTACAGGGACAGCAAAAGATTTAGCACACTTTGCTACCGAAAACATCCAGCACAAGAAGTATCACCCAGGAAACGGGGAGGAGAGGGCTCTGGGTGCAAGCTGCCTGCGGCACAGCCCAGCAGACAGAACTCCAGAGAGCACGCAGGGAGACACTGCAACCAAAGCTCCTGGGTGACAGGGCAAGGGTTTGAGCAGAAAGATGGTAGGTTTACATTGGACATAAGGAGAAATTGTTCTACGATGAGGGTGGTGAGAAACTGGGACACTGAGGTTGTCCAGAGAAGTTGTGAAGTTCAAGGCCAGGTTGGATGGGGCTTTGTTCTCCCGCATCTAGTGAAAGGGGTCCCTTCCCGCGTGTCATGGTTTATGCAGTTGCTCTATCACCCGATGCCTCCTCCCTACCCGGGGAGGGGGGGGGTCGGGAAAAGGAAAGGAGATCTGTGGGTTGACAGGGTAATACATATAATGAAGTAATAATAAAAACTAATATTAATAACAACATTAGTATAAAGTACACAGAGCTATATTGAGCCAATGTTGTGGGGGAGCAGGCCTCAGGGGTAGGACAGTAGACAAGTCCCTTTGGAGATATCAGCCGTGGAAGAGGGAAGAAGAAAAAGGAAGGAGCAGGAGGTGGGAAAAGGGCCATCCCCAGAAAACTCCCCAGTCTATAGTCGATGTGATGTTTAAGGTTTGAATAGCACTCATTGGTCAGCCTGGGGTCAACTTGCCTGGGTTTCCACTTCCCCCAGCCCCTGCATCTGTGTAAAGATGAGTGAAGGCCTTGGTTACCACATGCCAGCATCAGGAGAAAACTATAGCAAAGTGTCCTGGTTAACTGGGACAGAAATTTAGTGTCAGTTTTCCACTGAGGAAAAACCGCAGTTCTGTAAGGACTGCAACACTCTCTTTCATGGGAACAAAGTGATAAAACTCTGTTATAGGTTTCAGGTAATGCTGGTGTGCAGGGTGCTACAGTGCTCGAGATCCTGTGGAGATAAACACTTGCAGAGGCTGGGGAGAGAGCAAACCCAGGGGAGTCGACCCCAAGGTGACCCTAATGGCTGACAAATTAGTATTGTGCTCCTCAGTGCCCCCAGAACTTGCTGAGACACTCCTCCAGAGCAGGAGCAGTCTACACGCACCAGCCTATCTTACAAAATCTGAGTTTTATTAATGTACCTTCAAAGCAAAAGCAATGAGCACAGCCCCCTTGGTGCCCTGTACCACGGGGAGTGTGAGGGAGGAACAGGCTCTCCCCAAACGGCACCTCCTCAAAGGCTGGGGAGCCGTGCAGTCCCCTACAGCCGTGCAGTCCCCTACAGCCGTGCAGTCCCCTACAGCCGTGCAGTCCCCTACAGCCGTGCAGTCCCCTACAGCCGTGCAGTCCCCTACAGCCGTGCAGTCCCCTACAGCCGTGCAGTCCCCTACAGCCGTGCAGTCCCCTACAGCCGTGCAGTCCCCTACAGCCGTGCAGTCCCCTACAGCCGTGCAGTCCCCTACAGCCGTGCAGTCCCCTACAGCCGTGCAGTCCCCTACAGCCGTGCAGTCCCCTACAGCCGTGCAGTCCCCTACAGCCGTGCAGTCCCCTACAGCCGTGCAGTCCCCTACAGCCGTGCAGTCCCCTACAGCCGTGCAGTCCCCTACAGCCGTGCAGTCCCCTACAGCCGTGCAGTCCCCTACAGCCGTGCAGTCCCCTACAGCCGTGCAGTCCCCTACAGCCGTGCAGTCCCCTACAGCCGTGCAGTCCCCTACAGCCGTGCAGTCCCCTACAGCCGTGCAGTCCCCTACAGCCGTGCAGTCCCCTACAGCCGTGCAGTCCCCTACAGCCCTGTGCCACAGCACTGCTGCAGCCAGCCCTCCCTTGCCTCACACCAGAGCGCCCAGAGCCCGCACAGGCGTCCCAGCACAGCGAGCACCTTCCTTTCTCTCCCTGCCGCTGCAGGGCATGGACACCCCAGGTTGGACATCCCATGGTACCAGAGGACACAGCCACCTCACACAGGTGCCGTGCGCTGCTTGCGGGCAGGCCATTGCCACAAACTGCTGTGAAGCAAGAGCTGCAGGGAGGCTCAGCAAGGACCTGCCCTCCCCTGGGAGCTGTTCTACACTGGGCCCTGGGCATCACCCTGCTCCTCAGCAACCCAGCTGGCCCCCAGGCCAATGTTCTGGCTTGATCTTGAATCTGCCTCTTGCCCATGGACTTGCCTGGGAAATCTGGACTCCTGGGCTGGCCGTGACCACTGCCAGACCTGCTCTGCCCGCCTTGCTCCGGCAGCGTGGGGCTGCAGCGTTACCCATGAAGCCACTGCCTCTGCCAGCACCTGCTCAGCACCCTCGGCTCCTGGCTCACCCTCCCGTAGGCAGCAGCCATCCTTTCTTTGTCGTGACACGGAGCACGGTGCAGTGGGGCAGCAGAGCTTGCCTTGAGAGCTGCTTTTTAACCACAAGCTACAGAGTATGAAGCTGCATGGAACACAAGCAAAGCCAGAAGCAGCTGCAGGGTTCCAGCCTCTGCCAGCCGTTACTGTGGGCTGGGAGAGGGCACGGTGAGGCAGCACACCCAAGGATGTCAGAAATGTCGCCTCTAGCAACTTTCCACAGTTTTGAGGGGGCTGTATGGTTTACCTGTGTCTTTATTCATAATGGCGTTGTAATAAGCAAAAAAAGCTCTGAATTCAGCAGGTCGGTGAGACATGGCTTTGAACACGTTTGGCAGAAATCCAGTCTGCTCAAGGAAAAAGAAGAACATTACGAACTGTAACTTAAAACAGAGGGCGACATTAATGCACTAGGCTTAGAGAACGCTTTGTTAGCCCTGCAGTGCTGGTGGATCTCTGCAGACCCATTCCCTAGCCCATTTAGCACATTTATACATATGACTGAACACGTAATGATGTGTGTTAATGAGGTGTTGCTGCAGTTTCATAACACGACTGGTTGCCCTGCGCACTTCAGCCACAGCCGTAATGATCACAGCCACATTGGTGAGCTCCTTCCAAACTGAGAGTCTGTCCCCACTGGGTCTCCCTGCACGGATGCTGCCGTGCCCGTCTGACCATCCTAAACCTTCTGTACCTCTCCTCCTTGTGCTGGGTGTCTACCACAGGCAGCCTGATCAAGGGGAGCCTATCCACAAAGCCTTCTTTCCCCAGCTCCAGGAGGCATCGAGCTCTCAGGCTCTCATCCCGCTGGGGGATTTCAACCACCCTGACATGTTGGGAAAGCAGCACGGCGAGCTGTAGGCAATCCAAGAGACTCCTGGAGTGCCTTGATGACAACCTTCTAAGACAGGAAATGGACAGCCCTACCCGAGGGGAAGCGATTTTGGACCTGATGGTGACCAATGCAAGTGAGCTCATCAGGGATGTCAAGACTGGAGGCAGCCCGGGCTGCAGCCATCATGCACTGGTGCCACTGACTGTCCTAAGGCGTACGACTCACACGAGAAGCACAGTCAGGACCCTGAACTTCAGGAAAGCCAACTTCCAGCTCTTCAAGGAGCTGGTCAATAGGACCCCCTGAGAAGTGGCTCTCAAGGACAAGGGAGCAGAATGGAGCTGGCCGTTCTTTAAGGAGGCTTTCCAGAGTGCAAGAGCTCTTGATCCCCAAGTGTAGGAAATCAGGTAAGGAAGGCAGGAGAAGAGCATGGATGAGCCGAGACCTGCTGGCCAAACTAAAAGGCAAGATGGAACTGCACAGGCAGTGGAAGCAGGGACAGGGATCCAGGGAAGAGTACAGGGATGTTGCCTGGGTGTGTAGGGACGAGGTCAGGAAGGCCAAGGCACAGCTGGAGCTGAACTTGAGATGCCAAGAAAACAAGAAGGGCTTCTATGGGTACGTCAACCAGAAAAGGAAGGTTAAAGGAACTATCCCCACCCTTCACAGTGGTGAACTGGTAACAACAGACGAGGAGAAGGCTGAGGCTCTCAACAAATTTCTGCAATCTTCACTGGCCGCCTCTCTCCTCACAGCTCTGGAGTTGATGGCCCACAAGGCAGGGACCAGGCAGGAAAAGTCCCTCCCACTGTAAGTGAAGATAAAGTTTGTGACCATCTGAGGAACCTTAACATACACAACTCCATGGACCTGATGAGATGCATCCCAGAGTCCTGAAGGAATTGGCTGATGGAGCTGCCAAGCCACTCTCCATGATATTTGAACAGTTATGGCAGTCAGGTGAAGTCCCTGGTGACTGGAAGAAGGGAAACATCAAACTTATCTTAAAAAAGAGTAGAAAGGAGGACCCTGGGAACTACCGACCTCAGCCTCACCCCTGTGCCTGGGAAGATCATGGAGCAGATCCTCCTAGAAGCTCTGCAGAGGCAGAT